CATCCTTCCTCTCTCCTTCCATATATGTTTGTGGAGCAATGGTAGAAGTAAAAATGGGTGAACTGCTGCTGTTGGACCCTCCTCTTAGGACAATTTTGGCAGAGTTTACATTTTCCCTTCCAGAACTCCTACATCAGAAGAGGCCTCCTGCTTCTCAAACATCGGGAAGCACAAAGGCTCTAGCCATAGCACCCACAGGGTTCAGTGAATTACAGGAGAACCTTTTTTCTTTCTCCTCCTCCTCCTCCTTCCTCCTCCTCCTTCTCCTCCTCCTCTTCTTCTTCTTTCTTCTTCTTCTTCTTCTTCTTCTTCTTCTTCTTCTTCTTCTTCTTCTTCTTCTGCTTCTTCTTCTTCTTCTGCTTCTTCTTCTTCTTCTTCTTCTTCTTCTTCTTCTTCTTCTTCTTCTTCTTCTTCTTCCCCTTCTCCTTCTCCTTCTTCTTCTTTATTTGTAAAAGAGTATCTTGGGATGGGGGACAAGAAATGCCACAAAAATTACACCATGCAACAGACCTTACATGAGATTTATTGGGTAAGGGTGGGTGAAAATGGCTGCCTCTAAGCATAGATGGAAACAGATAGAGTGGGACCAGGTCATGATGGTATGCTTTATAGGGGATATGGAGCATGCACATTGGGAAAATACACAATGGTAGAAATGTGTCACCTTAGTTGGGTCATTGGCATTGAGTCATTAAAGGAAGAGAGGAACCTGGTTCTGGAATGTGGATAGTCCTTATTTGACTAACAGAGACGGCATGACCTGAAGAGCAACTGGCTAGTTCAGCCACAGATAGGCAGCTGAGTCTCCTCAGAACTCCAAGTAATTGTATCTCACTTGACTGCATAAGGAAAGGTAAGAGGACAGGCTTTAAAGGAGAGAACCACTACCCAAGATACAAAAAATTTGCTGTCGACCAAGATTGAGGGGGTGCCCTAAGGAGCTCTGGTGGATGGAGCAAAGTTGCAACACCTTTTCTACAGAGCAGGCAGGCTTACCCTAATGGAAGTCAAATTAAGTAAAGTCACTTCTCTTAAAGCCACACCAACAGCAAGTTTCTGGAGTCATCAAGGCTTGATAGAGGCAAACTTAGGGAGAGGGTAGGAGCTGAGCTGAGAGGTGGGAAGGATAGACACACAGATTGTGAATATTCCCCTAAATGACATTTATTGTTTTATCTATTGTTATGTAAAAGTGTTCCAACATATAGAGGCTTGAAAATAATTGTTTGATTGTATGTTATAATTGTATAACTTAAAAACTTGACCAGAATTTGTCTGGGTAAACTTTATGTATGTCAACATCAGAAATTCCTTGGTTTCATTGAGATGGCAAATGAGATAGACAAAAGCAGCTTCCTTTTTAAGTCTGTTTTAACAGAGAAGACTGGAGATCTGTACTCAGACTCTCAGTCAACCCTGTGCATGGCCTCATCAGCATAGCAGTGTGAACTAAGTTCCCAGGGATGGGGGAAATCACATCTCTGTAAAAGACTCCTCAAAGCTGACTGACTGATTGATTTATTGATTGATTGATTGATTAGAAATTAGAGTGGAAAATTACACTCCTAGATCTGCCTTCCCTTGTGTTTGGCCTAACATCTATCTTTATGACTATTAGATAAATCTTTTTGTAATGTATTGACAGACTCCCTAGCGTACAGCAACCCAAAGGCTAAGAATGCCATCAGATAGCACCTGAGGCATACAGAAGAGATTTCTCTACCTTTTTGTTTTCACCAACTTATTTGAAAAGTATCTTGATTTATGATGTTCTTTATTCTCTTAATATAAAAACTTCATGACACTATTATCACATTGGTATTTGCAGTAACTTATATCTGTGTTCCCAGTCCATGGTCACTCATATTTGTCTCCAGAATAAAATATATTTCATTCCCTTTGAGATGAAAGCTTCATTTTGTATAAACAGTGTCTTCACCAGCATAGTGGCATCAGATAGATGACTTCATAAGTGATGGTTTAGAGCACCAAGAGATAATGTTCCAGGGGATCTAGATAGAAACTGTAAGGATTCTTATAACCCAGAAGTCTCAGAATGTCCTATTATTCTATTGGTATAGAAAAACACTGTAAACAGCCTTTCTGTGGAACAGTTTTTGTACATTATAAATATGTATTGCTCTCATCATTAATAAAAAGCTGATTGTCTAATAGGCAGGATTTGGGGGGCAGAGAGGATGATGGAAAGAAGAAGAAGAAGAAGAAGAAGAAGAAGAAGAAGAAGAAGAAGAAGAAGAAGAAGAGCAGAGTTAGAGGAGTTGCAAGAGACACACAGAGAAGCAAGATGAACATGCCACATTAAAAAAAGATACTGCCACATGGAAGAAGGCAGATAAGAAATATGGGTTAATTTAAAATGTTAGAATTAGCTGTCAGCTAAGCATTTATAATTAACATTAAGTTTCCATGTCAGTTATTTGGGAACTGGTGAGGGGGAAGAAAAGTCTCCCTTACAGCCTATATTCCAAGAAAGTGGAATTCAACCTTGTATCTCAATGAAGGGGTGGTAAAGAATTTTCAACCATAGGGCAACAAGAGGACCCAGTAGGCAAAGCTGTTCACCACCAAATCTGATGGTCAATCCTTTGGTCCCAGAAGGTAGAAGGAGAGAATGGACTTCTGCAAGTTTTCCTTTGATTTTTATACATATGCCATGGGACATACACATGCAAACACACACACACACACTAAAAAAAATCATAAACTTTTTAAATTCCACCATGTTGAATTTCCCACACTGCAGTAGAGCTAGGAAGGTTATGTTAGTCTTGCTGTAGGATATTTTCTCTACACATTTGTGTTGAGTTCTTGAGGATATAAGCCACCCATGGTCCTATGAAATAAAGATACATACACAGAGAGAGGGGAGGGGAGAGGGAGGGAGAGAGGGAGAGAGGGAGGGAGAGAGAGACAGAGAGAGAGAGAGAGAGAGAGAGAAATGAGTAAGACAACTTCATGAATGGTATAGCTGTTGGAAAGCTCATGGAAAGTAGACTAGAATAGGCTAAAAGAATAGTTACACTGAGGGATGGAGAGACGACTCCATGATTAAAAGCACTGCCTATTCTTCCAGAGCACCTGGGTTCAATTTCCAGACCCATATGGCAGCTAACAACTATCTGTAGCTCTAAGATCTGATACCCTCATACAGACATACATTCAGGGAAAACACAAAAGCACATAAAATAAAAATAAATAAATTAAAAAAGAATAGTTACACTGTGCCTGGCATATAATAAGAACTGAAAAAGAAAATGTTGGCTATAATTTGTATACAAACTTTGCCATAAGCCAAGCAGGTGGTTTTGCTGTTTAGTTTTATTTCAACTTTATGCAAGCTAAGTCATCTAAGAAGAAGGAACCTCAGTTGAGAAAATGCCTCCATAAAATCTGGCTGTGGACAGACCTGTAGGACATTCTCTTAATTACTGATTGATGGGAGAAGATCCGACCCATTGAGGATGGTGCCAACCCTGGGCTGGAATCCCAGGTTCTATAAGAAAACAGGTTGAAAAAGTCAGAGGAAGCAAGACAGTCAGCAGCTCCCCTCAATGGCCTTTGCATCCATTCCAGCCTCCAGGTTCCTACCCTGTTTGACTTCTTGTCCTGACTTCCTTCAGTGTTGGACTGTAATGTGGAAGTGTAAGCCAAATAAATCCTTCCCTCACCAACTTGCTTTTGGTCATGGTATTTAATCAGAGCAATGATAACCATATCCAAGACAGTGACATTACCTATAATACCAACATGTAGGAGATAGGCAGTGTTAGAAGAGAATGCAGGTCCCCTTTTGCTGGTTCTTAGCCTAATAGATAAAAGAACTTAAGGAAACTTGAGAGCAATTTTAGGATTTGAAAGGAAAAACGACACGGCAGACAATCTGTAGATTTTGGTAGCTTCCTGGGAGATACATAAAAGGAAGACAAAATGTCATGGTATTTGTGTATCTCTAACACAATTTGTGTGTCTCTAACTAACAGAAAACAGGCAGCCTCAGCAATAGAAGTTGGAAATCAGTTGCAGGGTAGGATAGGGGAATCTTTAGCGAGAAAAAGTGAGACTGTTCAGAGGGAAGTGAAAAGAAGCTAGGGACCCTTTCCTCTTTTTGCAATAAGAAGTGGGAAATGGTATGTTCATACTACATACTATGCTATATAGAAGTCACTGTAAAAGTCCTTTACCTAACCTTCCCTGATCTTGGACATTGAGAGCTGAGACTTTCTTAAATCAAACAGCAAATTTAATGAGTGTAGATTGAAGTCTGGACGTTTTGACTCATAAACAACACAGCTGAGAGTCTGGGCATTCTTTTATTTTTTTCCCAAAGAATGAACAACCAGGTGCAATGCTTCAGGCTCTTCCCACTAGAACCAGTTCACTTCACCAATGTCCTTTGATAGTGGCCCAGAAAGGAGTTGTAGTACTGGAGCTGACACATTTTGGTAAATTCCTGTATACCGTGTGGACTCGTCTAGAAACCAGAGACCCCTATGAATGTAACAAAAAGTCAGGCCCAGATGCCATTCCCAGAGCTCTCAATATAGCAGCAGTACTTTTTATTTTGGGGTCATTTGTTTGGATGTTCAGACAGGGTCTTATTATAGCCCAAGCTTACCTTCAACTTACTATGTAGGTAGGTTTACCTTAAATTTTGATTCTCTTACCTCTATCTCTAGAGTTCTGGGATTGATGGGAATGGGCCATCACATCTAGAAAGCAGCAGTCTTTTGTGACCGAGTCCACATCTGGCCTCATTTTACCTGGGATTACAGCACAGACAGAGCTGTGTATCTTGTTGGAGTGGATTGGATGGACAATTAGACAAAAAGATCCACAGCCCATGTCTAAACGGTGTTTTAGAGTTTGATAGTTTAGACTAGAGGATCTGTATGCTGCTCATACTGAAACCAAGTATAAGGAAACATAAGAAAAACTTATTTCCAAACTTCACCCTTAATGAGGAAATTTGAGGCCAGTCCAGAAAAGTTGATGGAACGTGTGTCGATCATAGGGCTATTCCCCGCACTGGAAGAGGGAAGCAAAGCAAGCACAAGGCATACAGACTTGAAAAGAGACATGGAAAGTGGAGCAAACTCAGGTGAGTTCCTTTGCATACATTTTGAACTCACATTTTCTTCTTTTAGTAGCCTGCACCAGGGGTTCTGAAGTTTGGTGGTCATCAGAACCTCTTAGCAGGCTAATTAAACCGTAAGCGTTATGAGGCTTGCTTCTGAGACTCAGATTCCTTTCATCTGGGCTTTCCCAAGAATCTGTACTTTTAGAGAAGGCAATCTATGACTCTCTCCTTGAATAGAACAGATATATAATGTTTTCCTTGCTGGAAGAAGCAGAGGGGCTTGTTTGACTCCAAGTTGCTATGTAAATTCTTATTTTTGATGGCTGGATAACTTAGAACTATTTCTCACTCTAAATAATCCCATGGGACAAAAAACTAAATTCACTCCCTTAGAGTTGAAATAAGTCAAGGGGATGGTAAGGAGGGGGCACAACAGAAAAATGGAAGCCAAATTCCTAGAATATGTTAATATAAAACAACAACTTCACTTTAAAGAATATAGCAGTTTACTTCATGTCAAATATGAGATGCCCAGAACATGGAACCAAGTTATCTGGGAAGGCCTGTTGTACTGGGGACAAGGTTACATGACATTTTGTTTTTTGAGACAGAGTCTTGGATAGCCCAGACTGACCTCAAATCTGCTGTGTTGCTGAGGATGTCCTTAAGCTCTTAATTCTCCTGCTTTTACCTCCATAATGCTGGGGTTACAGGCATACACCAACACATCATGAACTTTTACAGTCACAGAACAAAAGAAAGCCATAAATTAAGACCTTGATATCATTTTTGTTTCTAACTTGTTGAAAACATGTATTGAGAATGGATATTAAACTTGGTCTTGTGCATTTAATAACAAAGATGATGTAGGTTTTATTTCTGTTCTGTTATGGTGACCTAAATTGTTTAACATTCAAATGTTTAGGCAACCTCACATTTCTAGGACAAACACACTTGGTTATGTTATATTGCCGTTTAAAATACATTACTGAGACCAGAGAGACGGCCCAGTAGACAAAGGTGCTTTTCACCAAGCCTTATAGCCTGAGTTCTATCCCAGGGATCCACCTGGTAGAAGGAGAAAATCAACTTCCACATGTTGTCCATTGACCTCCAAATGCATACCATGGCAAGTGTGTGATGCATACACTCATAAACACAAATAAATAAATAAATGTAATAAATATTTAAAATGTATTACTGACTTTGACTCAACTTACATTTTGGAAATAATTTTTATGTTAGCTACAGATGTAGTTCAGTCAGTACAACATTTGCCTAGCATGGACAAAGCTCTGGATTTAGTTTCCAGTACTGCATAAACCTGGTGTGGTAGCACAGGCCTTGAATCCTGCCAGTCTCAAAATGGAGTTAGGAGGATCAGAAGTTCAAGACCCTGGGCTATATAATGAGTTTAAGAAAAGTCTCTTTCAAAAAGTAAACGGAGAGCCGGGCGTTGGTGGCGCACGCCTTTAATCCCAGCACTCGGGAGGCAGAGGCAGGCGGATCACTGTGAGTTCGAGACCAGCCTGGTCTACCGAGCGAGTTCCAGGACAGCCTCCAAAGCCACAGGGAAACCCTGTCTCGAAAAACCAAAAAAAAAAAAAAAAAAAAAAAAAAAGTAAAAGGAGAAGTTTTGTTTCATGAAGACAGTATGTAGTTTTTGCTAATTGTAAATTCTAATTTTGGTATCATGGTTACACTTGCCTCATAAAGCAAGTTGAAGGGGATCTATCTTTTATTTCAGGTATTTGTGTAAGGTTAGTGTTGTTTCTTCCTCAAATATTTAAAAAAATTCCTAAAACTAAGCTCTGCCTCCTCTGTGCTGAAGCTTCAAATATCAGTTAAGTTCTTTCAGATAGCACCAGCACATTTATAGTTAAAAGATAGCCATTTGATAGCCGGGCTTTGGTGGTGCACGCCTTTAATCCCAGCACTCAGGAGGCAGAGGCAGGTGGATCTCTGTGAGTTCGAGGCCAGCCTGGTCTACAGAATGAGTTCCAGGACAACCTCCAAAGCAATACAGAGAAACCCTGTCTTGAAAGACAAAACAAACAAGCATACAAAAACAAGAAAAGAGATAGCCATTCGAGTAGAGTACATGGACAAAATATGGGACTTTCTATCTTTTTTCCCCCCTTCGGTGATTTATACTCCTCACTTTCCAGTGTTTTTAGTTGTCCCAACCTTGGGTACCTGGTTCTTCAAGACAGAGGGGAAAAATAAGGTATATTTGTACAGCTTATTTCCTTTAACATAATGATCTCCATTTGCAACCATTTTCCAGCAAATTACTTAATATCATTTTTCTTTTTCTTTTTCTTTTTTTTTTTGGTTTTACGAGACAGAGTTTCTCTGTTTTGGAGGCTGTCGGTCCAGCCTGGCCTTGAACTCACAGAGATCCACCTGCCTCTGCCTCCCGAGTGCTGGGATTTAAGGCGTGCGCCACCAACGCCCGGCTCTCATTTTTCTTTATGGGTGAATAAAACTCCATTGTGTTATGCCTTAGTTGCTGTTCTATTTCTGTGAAGAGAAACCAGGATGGAGGCAACTTTTATAAAAGAAAACATTTAATTGGGGACCTGCTTAATAGTTTTAGAGAGCTAGGCCATGATCATCATTGTGGGAAGCAGAAAGAAAGGCATGATACTATAGTAGTAACTAAGAGCTTTATATCCTGATCCACAGGCAGCAGAGAGACAGACACAGAGAGAGAGACAGAGAGAGAGAGAATTTCCAGTGACATATCAACTCCAATAAGGACACACTCCTAATTCTTCCCAAACTCTTCCACTAACTAGTGTCTAAGCATTCAAATGGATGACCCTATGGGGCCATTTTCTTTCAAACCCCAATATTACATAAGGCACATTTTTATTTACCAGGTCATCGGTTAGCAGATGACATTTGGCTGATTCTGAATAGTGTTACAAGAAACATAGATGTACAGGTATCTCTGTGTTGTATGGTCTTAGAGACCTTTGGGATTATACTCAGGAATGGGTCATGTGGTAGTTCTACTTTTAGTTTTTTAAGAACCTCCATAATGATTTTCATAGTGCTAAACCAATTTACAACCTCACCAGCGGTGAAGAAGGGTTCCTTTTCCCCCCACACCCTCACCACCATTTGTTGTTTTCATAATGACAGACTTTCTGACTGGGGGGGGGGGAGATGAAATATCTGTATGGCTTTAATTTACATTTCTCTGATCCCTAATGATGTTAAATATCCTTTCTGTGTTTGGGGACATTTGCACTTTTGAGAACTGTCTGCTCATTTCATTAGCCTATTTATTGATTGACTTGGTTGGGTTTTTAGTATTAAAATTCTTTATATATTCTGCACAATAATCTTCTGTCAAATGTATCCCATTCTATAGCCCATGTCTTCCTCTGATTGCTTCCTTTGCTATGCAGAAGCTCTTCAATTTCATGCAATCCCATTTGTCTATTTTTATATTATTTTCTGAGCTATTGGAGTCCTTTTCTAATGAAACTCCTATGACAAATCTTGAAGTGGTTTCTCTGTTTTCCTCTAACAGTTTCAGAAGTCCAGGTCTTAAAGTCTTTAATCCACGTTGAGCTATTTTTTATTGAGATACAGCTTATTTTTCTAGGTATAGATAACCAGTTTTTCAAGTACTATTTGTTGAAAAGATTGACTTTTCTCCAATGCATGACTTTTGTATTTTTGTCAAAAATATAGTACGTAACTATAGCTGTGTGACTTCTCTATTAATTTCATTTACCTGTCTCTTTTTTTTGCCACAACTATGCAGCTTTGTTATGACACAACACACTTTTTAAATTAAAAAAATAATACATGGTCCAACTAGACAGCCCCAGCTGACCTCAAATTCATAATCTTCCCACTTTAGTCCCAAGAAGCCAAACTATACTCATGTACTGCCATGCCCAACCTATTTAAACTTTAATATTTGAAAAGCTCAGACTATTTCTCCAATTATCTTCCTCAAAATACAGGAACATAGGAGTTTGAGTTGCAGTCTTAGCTGCTCCAGCTTCCTGGTTTTATAAATGCTGAGAAAGTGTTTTCACCAGGCTGGACCACTTTCCTATCCTATGAAATGGAGGTATATAAGATATATAATATCTTACAGAAAGTTGCAAGATCACAGGGAATTGCTATGGTATGTAGGCACAGTACCCCCCCCCACAGCAGGTGATGAGAACTCACTTATCTGACTCAGAGAGCTACTGCTTCAAGCTTTCTACTCTCCTCCTTATGTGACCCAGCAGCTTCCACGAATTATCGAGATGAAAAATTCCAGCTCTTCCAGTCATTTCTTCAGTCTTCTCATCTCACTGTTTCCAGTGCCCAGTTACCCAAAGGAAACTGAATAAGTTTGGCTCACTATAGTTTTCTGGACTTCTATGCCCTTGTGTGCTCCAGACAGGTGTTGATCTCTATAAGACCTGTAAACTAAACTCTCAGCGGAAGATGCTTTCTTCCCTGAGATTTAATCCTCAGTGCTAGCAAGGGTTTGTCCTTTATCTGTAGCTTTGGCATTATTTTGCTTTGTCTGTCCTCTCACTTCCTCAGGATGTCCCAAGAAAGAAAAAAAATTTTTTTTTCAACACAAGCCTTATATCCAGATCTATGCAGCTTATGAACAGGAAATGAGAGAGGATGGAGAAAGGGAAAGGAGGGAAGAAAATGAGGGGAGGGAGAAAGAGAGGAAAGACAGACACAACACTCTCTAGCCATTTATTGCATAATGACATTGAATAAATGCTCTCCAGCCAGATACTGAACAATCGGATGAATTAATCTGGGAACATGAGCCCTTTTGTGTACGAGAAACTAAGGCTCGGAAAGGTTTAAAAAAATGTTTCGAGGACACAATAGCGGAGCCCACTTTGGTTTCAAGTTTTTAGGTCCAGTAACACTTCTCTTTTCGCCTACATCTACTGTGAACTTGAGCTATCAAGACTTCTCAGTTGCCAGTCTACCAAGAGAATGGGGCTTGTGACAGAATGTAAATCAATGTTGTGTGTCCTTGGTCAAGAAAGTCTTTCTACGGAAAAGAAAAATGTTCCTTACTTACTTTATATGGTGGCCCAATTCTCAATCTTGTTATAAATAGCTCACCAATGGAATCTGGCCCATGAACCTTACTTTTTTGTAACATGGGTCCTAATGATCTATGTTCCAACCATATGGATTTAAACCCCAAATGTCTATCATTTCAGATGCTCTCAGTACCACTGCCTCCTGGGGCCAAATGGAGTCCTCTGAATCCTCTGATTATTATTATGATCTACAGAGTCACCTATGTGAGAGCAAGACCACCTTTGCCAACTTCACTGCCGTCCTGTACTCTCTGGTATTACTCCTTAGCCTGATGGGTAACAGCCTGGTTTTCTGGGTCTTGGTGAAGTATGAGAATCTAGAGTCACTCACCAATGTTTTCATCCTCAACCTGTGTCTCTCAGACCTTATTTTCTCCTGCCTGCTGCCTGTGTGGGTCTTAGCACAATATCAGGGCTGGTTGCTAGGTGATTTCCTCTGCAAACTCCTCAACCTGGTCTTCTCCATCAGCCTCTACAGCAGCATCTTCTTTCTCACCATTATGACCATCCACCGTTACCTGTCCGTAGTGAATCCCGTCTCTACCCTGGGCATCCATACCCTCCGATGTCGTGTGCTGGTGATCACATCTGTGTGGACAGCCAGCATCCTGTCCTCTATTCCCGATGCTATCTTCCACAAGGTGAATGTCTCAGCATGTGATTATTCTGAACTTCGTGGGTTCTTGGCCTCAGTCTACCAGCACAACATCTTCTTTCTCCTCTCCATGGGGATCATCCTGTTCTGTTATAAACAGATTCTCAGGACCTTGTTTCGTTCAAAGTCCAGACAGAGGCACCGGACAGTCAGGCTCATCTTTACCATCGTGGTGGCATACTTCCTCAGCTGGGCTCCCTACAACCTCATCCTCTTCCTAAAGACACTGCAGGAAACTGAAATCATCCAGAGGACTTGTGAGATCAGGCAACGGCTAGACCTGGCTATGATCATCTTCCGCATGTTGGCTTTCTCTCACTGCTGCTTCAACCCAGTGCTTTATGTCTTTGTTGGGGTCAAGTTCCGCAGACACCTAAAAAGTCTCCTCCAGCAGGTCTGCCAGAAGACATTCGTCTCCGTCCCATCCTCCTACTCCCCTGGCGTCTTTACATATGAGGGCCCCTCCTTCTACTGAGAGGAGAGGATGGGTACACAGAGGTGACTAGGGAAGCTGGAGGAAGTCAAGGAGAAGTGGATTGGGAAGGAGCGTGGCAGAAGACACAATAGAGGAGATGCCAGCAACGACTGCGGGAGCGTGGAGGAACCACATGATGGCTGTGGGAAGGTGGCTTCCACCTGGGCCCTCCAAAGCAATACTCCCTGGACTCAGTTCATCATTCATTCTCTCACTTAGACATAGATTGCTTATCAGTGACTGGTCAGAAGATCCTAAATAGAATGTTTTGCAAACATCGGGAGGGCTCAAACTCTCAGCATGTGCAAACTGTACAATGAGGTTGCTGGCACATAGGATTACCTCGCCTGTTTTTTTGTTTTTTGTTTTCACTTTGGTGGTGTCTGGTTCTTTGATTCCTTGCAGGTTCTGGAGAAAATGTCTTCAGGATAAGAAGACACTAAACTGAAAATAATTCTGTATTCTGGCAAGAGCTGCTGACACACAAACTAGCTTTTAGATATTTGCCCCCTAATTGAATGCAATATGTGCTGCCATCTGAATCTAAGTATTTAGACAATGCAAAGACGAACAAGATATTGTTGCTAACTTCCAGGTGACACCAATGCATCCATGAAGGTTCAGATAAGCATAGACCACTTAACAAAGGCACGCAGGTTGAAGATTCCTCTGTTGTTTCATCTCTTCCAGATTGAGAGAAAGCTGACTTCCTGCCATCTGGATGATAGTGTCAGCATTTCCCTTTCTACCATTCTCCAAAGCTGAGCCCTCCTCAAACACTGCATTCCCTTTCCTGAAGCCCCCAGGGCCAGGTCCTTTGGATTCTGCCTTTCCAATATCTCTCCAGCTTATTCCCAGGATCACATGCCCACGACTCCATCTCTACAATGGCCTCTACTCCACAGTGTCTTCCTGTTGCTTCTTATTTTTTTTCTCTCTTTCTCTGTTCCATCTTCTTCCTCTGGAAAACTGCCTGCCTGGATTTATAGCTTGTCTGCCTAGATCTTTTTTTTTTTTCTTTGAAGCTTTAAATAAAATTATTCTCAAGCCTCCTTCTGAGTTGTTTCTTAAATTCTTTTATTAATGAGCCAAGAACCCCAAAAGAGGACCCAGATTTCCCTAGTAATATGAGGTGATTCCACCAGAATGCCCCTTTGAGGAAGTTTAGACCGTCATGTCTGCATCCACAGCCAGAGGTGAAACTCGGATCCTGTTCTTTCAACCAAAAATAGATAAATAAAATCATGTAGCAGTAGATTATAAAGAATTAATGAAAAAATATAAATAAAGCCATAAAATAGCTATGACTTATCAGGAAGAAGCAACTTTCAAGGGCCCAGGTTCAGACCCCAGAACCCGAATGGTGGCTCACAACCATTTTTAACCAGAGCTCCGGGGTTGGGACAATATTTTTTGTACAGTGTTTGAAAGTGTGTCTCTGTCCTCCCTCACCTGCCTGAGGCACCTTCTGATTGGTTTAGTAAAGATCTGAATGGACCATATCTAGGCAGGAGAGGACAGGCAGGATTTCCATGGAGAGAGGAACTCTGGGAAAAAGAGTCTGATGAGGGGGATTTTCCAACAGACCCATAGGAAGTAGGACTTGTGGTACGGTGGGAAAGTTAAGGAGCCAGGTGGCACAACCTAGAATTGTATAAACAGGTTAATTTACATTTTAAGAGCTAGTTGGGAACAAGGCTAAGCTAATGCCTGAATTTTTTTTTGCACCCTGTTAAGTCTTTCTGCCATGCAGCAATGCAAATCAGACCAAATCAAACCGAATTAGAAAAAGTCCAGGTTTAATGCGTAAAATGCTCCCAGATGATTTCTGGCCCCTCAGAGGATAAACAGGGAAGAGAGACCAAAACCCCACATGTCTGTTTAAACTGGGGTCAGTTTAAATACCCTGTAGGAGTAGTCTTGAGCATATATGGGGGAGGGGCTGTGTTTGGTGGGCTTTCTGAGATGAGGCAGGGTTTGGGGAGAGAGAGATGGGGGATGGGGATTGAGGTGGAGTTGCTACCAGAACATTCCAGACTCTGAGAATATGGACTCGGGTTCATGGTTGGCAGCTTCCTGCAGGTATGGGACAATGTGGGGAATGAGGAGTCCCTGGGCTCACACTCCGCAGGAGGTGTGGGTGGAGAGGCAACCAGTTAATTGCCATCCTGGAGAGCTCAGGCATCTGTTTCTTGAGGAGACAGAAAAGGCAAGTTGTTAGGGGGAAAAAAATTAACAAGGCCAAACTTTCATAATCAATAAATGTTTCCTTATCTGTTTGGGAGCTGATGGCCCAAAGAAACACCAGTTGTACTCCAGGGGAATCCATTGCCCTCTTCTGATCTCCTTTCCTTTGTAGATCAAGCTGAGCATTTCGTGTACCTCACGATATTTTACGTAGACATGCCTCAGAAACCTTCCACTCCATCTTAGTTTACAGCTCTGTCCATTAGCCAAGTGAGCTTGGTATTCCTTTCTTTCTCTGAGCCTCAGTATACTCCAATTTGAAGTACAGAAATGAGTCCTACCTACATCACAGAGCAGTGTTCAGTTTTAAACATAATGCTATATAGGTTTTCGGTTAGGACACAACATATTAGGTTCTTAATATATGCCATCATCTGGGGCACAATATTTTGGTCAGTGTTGGACCATATATGACTGTGATCCCTTAAGACTAAATTGTCTAGTGATACCATAGTCATATTAATTTGTGTAACTATATTCCAGATGAACTGCCCTACTATGAAATTTTCAAAATGCATCATTACCTTTATAGAACACATCCCTGTTGGAGGCCTGTCTTCCTCTTCTCTGTAAACCTATTTAGAAACTAAGTTTCAAACAAGGGTGCTCTCTTGTGGGGACAACAGACCTTGGCCAGAGACCCACTTCCCCATCAGCCTGGTGGCAGGCAGCTGTAAGACAAACCATGTTTACTAAAAACATGTTTACTGAAAACAACCTGGTGTCCATAAGAACTGTTTACCGGAGCAATAAGTTCCTGAAAAAGGGCTCGACCACGGGAACGCCCTGGCCTTGACCTCTCCAAAGACTAATGGCCTCTTCCTGACCCACCCACCACAGTCTCTGGTGTCAGAGCAGAACCAGCGAGGGGTAAGAGAGGGAGCAGAAGCTTTTCTTGAGGGAAGCCTTTCTTGGGAAGTTTTTCTTGAGCCTTCTTGGGGCCTGCTTAAAGTTTTCTTTGTTTTTGTTTTTTTTGTTTTTCGAGACAAGGTTTCTCTGTGGCTTTGGAGGCTGTCCTGGAACTCACTTTGTAGACCAGGCTGGCCTCGAACTCACAGAAATCTGCCTGCCTCTGCCTCCCGAGTGCTGGGATTAAAGGCGTGTGCCTCCAACGCCCTGCTAAAGTTTTCTTTACATCGCCGACTGGTCTCTGTGTCATCAATCCTGACACCCTCGGCTCATTCTCCGATACAGGCTGTGCAGCGGGCGAGGCACTCTCTTATTAACATCCCAAAGCTGTATAGGCTGTGGTTGGAGCAACCACTATGCTGATGATTCTTCATTTCCATTGTCATCTCCTCCCACTTCTCTCCTTTTTTAGTTTTCCTTTGTTAACAGAAAAGGGAGTCATTTCTGTCAAGAGGCTCCTTTTTATTCCTACCCACAGACGGCCAATTCCATCAAGTCAATGTTACCTCCTATACGTCTCATGTAAAACATGAAATTAATTAAGAGATCTTTGTCCCGTGGTCAGTGGTGGCACATGCTTTTAATCCCAGCACTTGAGAGGCAGAGGCAGGCTGATCTCAGTGAGTCTGAGGCCAGCCTTGTCTACAAAGCGAGTTCCAGGACAGCTGGAATTGTTACAGAGAAACCCTGTCTTAAAAAACCAAAAACCAAACCAAAATATATACATGAAGGGACTAGACCCTCAACCGGCCCACTGCTTTGGCAGCCATGAGCTCTGACTCAGCAAAAATGTGCTGAGTTTCCTGACCTTGTCTAGGAGGTCAAGATACCCTCCATGTGGCAAGGAACCAACCAGAAGTTAGCTACCAGGCTCTGGTGGTGATTTACTGTAAAAGTGGTGTAAGGGAGGTGTGCAGAGTAGCCCATAACAACCAGTTGACCAATCAACACAGGACAGGTCGCCCAAGCCGAAAGCACACCAATCCTGAGACCGTTGCCCCCCCCCCCACCTTGGGGGTCCTTCTCATGATGAATGGACTAAGGGCCCAAGTTAAGACTGTTAACTCCTTAAACAATAAAAAGCCTCTTTGCTTTTGCATGAGAATGGGTCTCTTGGTGATTCTGGGCACAACAATGTATATTGTGTGAATCTATTCAGGAAAACCCTGAAATGCTGAGATCTGGCATATGCCACTAGTTTGCTAAGCTCTGTGAGGTAGACAGGCACGTCTAGCTAAAACGACAAAAAGTTAAGTCACGGTGAGGAGTAACCAGCCGGAGCTAAGGAATAGAACCTAGTGACAAACTGACATCTTACTCTCCCTTTTCTTTAGCATGCCCGTCTTGGAATGCAGCATTTTATTGCATCAGGCTTCGAGGTGCTTTTCAGTGCAACAAGCAAAAACACAGGCTAATTTCAAGCACTGATTCTATGTCTCTGTTAATGAGAAGAACCAAAAACTGAGAATTTAGATCCTGCAATACATAGTGATTTCTTTTCTTTTCTTTTTAGTTCAGTAAGTAAAAATAGCACAAAAATATTAACGAGCTATTTTTACATTGGGGGTTTCAATCAGGTACATTATTTTATATTTACAGCTTATGTGCGTTTCAAAGCCAATCAGCCACACTGCAAGAGCTTCACAGCAAGTATCCAACAGCACTCGCTCAGGAGTTCAGAGGACTCCTGGCCCTGCCTCCCTCCGGGTACGCAAAGCTTTTTAGGTTTCTCCAAAGGGACGCCACTTCGTGGAGCATGCCGGGAGTCGTAGTCCGCGCGCGCGCTCGGCGTTCCGTGCGCTTCATGGCCGCTGGCACTAAGCCCTCCTACTCTTCCGCTCGGCCCTAGAAAGTTTCGTTTCTGCCCGGCGGTGGACCCACGAGCGTGTAAGTGCCCAGGGTGGCCGGAGAGACTTCGAATACACTGGGGCCGCTCTGGACCCCGGCGCGGAGGCTTCTCGGGGGGCTAGGTAGTCACCTGTTGCCGAGGCTGTCCCCTCCCACCCAGGGTGCCCGCCGCCTCGGGGAGAAGCCCTGTGGGCAGAGGGGCTGGCGCCAGTCCCCGGGATGTCTGTGGGGTCGGCTAGAGAGACCTTCAACGCTGTCCCCCAAGACCCGAGCCGGCCGAGGGGCCACCCTGTGGGACCTCCTGGTGAAGCCTCTCCCCCGTGAGGCGGAGCTTCGTCAGGACACCCGAAACCCCTGGCTCCGGAGCCAAACTCTGGAGTTCTCGCGGGCATTGGGGCTTAGTCTTCGGGAAAGCCTACTCCAGCTCTTTGCAAGGCTCCGGGGGCCCCTGCCATCCTTTGCTGATTTTACCCCCTTGCCCGTGTGACCAGGTGCAGGATCTGAAGGTAGCTCTGCGGTGACGTTCTGGAAACACCTGTTGAACGACTCCGTGTTTCTCGCGTGGTAGCACTAGGCTGTGAGAACTTGTTTGGGGGCAGGGCGATATCCTATTTTCATGAGAGAAAAGAACGTGCGGTTGATACTTTAAGCCACGTAGTTTCCTATTAATGCACTTATAGCGATTCTTTGCGCTACTCCTCAGTGTTCCCCACTGCTGTCTCCTGCGCGCTAGATACACGGAGCGCTTGTTGATATTGCCTGTGTTCATCAGAGTCTCTCTGGCCCTCTGCTTGTCTGACTTAACCACAGTGGTTTTCTTTCCAGACAGAGAAATGGGTCAGGGGCATTTAGGGGCAGAGAGGATCAGGGCTTAATCTACTTACAGCCTCTCTCTCCCCGCTGTGGGCCTTGTGGTCCGAGGCAAGGATAATTCCTCTGCCATCTGCTCCGCTGCCGCTGGATGCAGGGGAAGGGTGTTGAGCCACAGGTTTGTACTTTTAGTGTTGTAACCTTCTGGATCGAATTGCTGTCCCCGGACCTCTCACTC